TCAGCTCTTTCTTCCTAGTATACACCGCTCCTGCCTGCCTCTTTCTATAATTTCCTATCCAATCCTACAAAAAAAACAAAAAAATTATAAATAGAGAACACTGTACCGATTTGCATACCCAGACTGTATTAAATTTGGTGTACAGTGGTATGTAGTGTATTAGCATGAGTTAACCTTGTTTGTTTAAATGACTAAACAGATTACATTCGTTCGAGTAGTTTTTAATTGAAAAATGTTAAAATGGCATTAAAATGTATGGTACCGTAAAATTTACATTAAACATCCAATATTGTTCTTTATGCATTTTTATTCTGCTATTTTATTAAAGCAATCATGTTATGTCTACTAGGTATGTTTGTTTATGCTACAGGAAAGCAATGATGGAATAATTAACATAAAAATGTTGTATTTATTTGTTGGCTGCCCTTTTTAATCAATTGCCATGTTATTTTTTCTACCACTGTTATTTGTCCTTGTTACTATATACATAAATCTCAATTTACTTTTGGTGTAATTTATCATAATAATAACATTTGTATAATAAAATAGATAATAAATATTGTTAAAATTTAGTACAAATATTGCTAATTTCTTTCAAAAACATTTATGACTGCCTAAAAATGTCAATGTTGTTGTATTTTTACTGTTATTAAAACTACTGTAATATAAAAAAAGTGAATGTCTGTAATGTAAATTTTATCCAGTACACTGTACCTTTATGGATTTCAAATGGGAATTACACATGGCCATGGTATGTGTAATGAGAAAAACAAACTTCCTGATAATGATGTGTTGAGTTGTTGGTCAAATTACTCATGGAAGTATACAGTAGTTACAATAAAGTAAAGTATGACAAAAAAAGAAGATCAATGTTTCTTGTCCATCATGGACACATTCTCAAGATCAAATGAATAACAATATACAAAAGTAGAAAAACCTAAGAAGGCAATCATGGACTAAGAATGCTAAAAGATTAACACCTCCTGTGCTAATTGTTCCTATTGGAGCTATGATACTGATAAGCTCCATGTAAGTTGTTCTCCTAGATAAACAATTTTGCTTTAATAGAGTCTGTTTGTTTGTTAAGAGATGGTTTTAATTCCTTAATCCAGAGCATTTCTTTAATCAGGCAGTCAAATTTTGATTTACATTTGTATAGAATGCTGAAATTGTTAATTATATCAGAATCTAAAATATCATGTGCAATTACCAAAAAATAAATAAAATTAAACCCTTACTATGTTCATCAATAATTAATACAAAATTAATGTATTTAAATTTTAAATATACATACTTTAACTTGTACCTCTTGCAAGCCTGTTTCTTCAACAGCTTGATGTAGGAGCTTCTTCTTTGCTTCGTCTCCATATCCTGTCATACCTCTTGTCCAGAAAGACTTAAGGATTTCAAAATTTTCTTCAGTTATGACAATATTTTTTCTAATGTAGAAGGAATATATATAAATATTATGGTGAATCAGGGACATCACAATCAATATTTTCTTTTTAAATTTATTTCTATTGAAGTGTATTGTTGAATTACAGTATTCTGTATTAATTATTTTGGATATTGCTACAAGTCAAATACTTCTAAATGGTATTAGGTTGATAATTATATGCAATTATCTAAGCAATTACCAAAAAATAAATAAAATTAAAATTGAATTGCAGATAGTAAACAGAAACAAAATTACTCCCAAGAAAAAAAAATAATGACTACAGTACTTACCGTTTACGAGGACTGGTCATCTTGATCAACCTGCAAGAAAGGTACCATGATTGATTTAGGTGTACTATTTCTCTTCAAAAACTACAAACTTATTTATCAGGGTAGACTCAACATAACCACACAAAGAATACAAAGCATTGATGATTAACTTAAGGATGTACAGTACTAGACTGTATCCCAAGTAAGGCAATTAATTTTATAATAATCATACCATTCAATTGATGAAATTAAGTAGGAAGTTATTTGTTTTATTTTACATGAACCAAAATGAACAAAAATAGATTTTAATTCACAATCAATAGTTTTCTTTATGAATGCCAATGGTGAAGCATAAAAAAGTATGTAGAAAATAAGTTTTTGAATAGATAACATGATGAATAATTACTAGTTTTATTAACAGTATTTATAACAAGAAAAAAAAAAACAAATGCTCCAGTTTCTTTTTTCCAGTTTTTTTTTTTTATATTGATATACATCAGATTTGACTTCTAAATCGTTATTCAGAGAATATACAAAATTGCTAAAACAGAAACTGCTAAAAACAAATATAAAATTATATAAATGAATAAATATACATGACAAACTTCCTTTCATACAGATAGCTATTGTAGGCTTACAATATGAATTGAACAGAGAAATAAATGTTACTAAGATTACATCCTGCTTCTCTGTGAAGTGACCAAATTACTAAATTATGTTGTTTAAAATATAAAGTACTTTATACTATATTAATTATATTTCAGTTTGTATTATGAGTAAATGTAGTAAATAATAATAGTTCTATATAAAACAGGCCTGTTTTGTAAAAAAAATCTTTTTAGAATTTTAAGAGCTTTAATTATTTTATATGTCCATGCTTTAATTAAAAAAAAAATCTGGAATGCACATTTCAATTGGACTTTTATAATTCAATGTTTTTGAAAAAAATGTTTCGAAAAACGTAGTTTTTATCTATGTGTAATGGAAGTTGTTGAAAATTAAGTTCAGTGTATTAATTCCTCTATTTTGTTTTTATTTATAAAATCACCCTGTTCAGTGTTATTGGCCCTACCTGTTGGGTGTGTGTCTGAATTTAAAACTAAATGTAAAAAGGATTTTCGACCAAAAATATATTTTCTCAACTTCTGAGCGATGGTGAATGTACGTCTGAACAAAACAAAATATTATTATTATTATAGCCTAGTGTACTAGTAATATAGGCCTAGTAGTTGCAATTAATTAATTAATGTGTAGAACATGTTGCTGTAAAAATACACAATTTTATTTCATTTAATTTATTTCGTCACAATATCAGTGTTGATTGCTTCAAATTTCATGATTTAAAATGGATAGGCCTATCAAGCACCATTATATAGCGGAAATTTATTTATCAAACCTGCCACAAAGTAGGCAAATGAATCCTAAATATACATACTATTTATTACTGTCCACTACCTTTAGTTTGTATACCATAAAACCTCGAAAAGAAGCCCATCTCGAAATGAAGTCCATTGTGTTTGCAAAAACCTCGAAAAGAGGCCATGAGGTTCTTTTTGAGATCATGGAGGTATAAAAAAGAAGGAGATATAACCAACTTAATTGGATTTGCTATGCTAAGACCTAATGACCTTTCTCCAACGCTGATTGGCTTACCACTAAAAGGTTAAAAAAGCCCGCTATCTCGTTACCGCAGCGGGACGTCCGCTTTCATCCATATCATCGCAGCCGCTTGTTTCGTAAATTTCTAGTCTTATTGCAAGGCCGCTTAGCAACGCAGTCGCCCTGAACATGTATTTTTAACTATTTTTAGTGTATTAAGATGTGTATAAGAGAAAGTAGTCTGGTCAAGCCCCACCCTCATCGGCCAAAGCTCGTCGGACAGTCGGACCTACAAAAAAATAATAGCCTAGTTTTCCCATCCCAACCATTTTCGGCCATCTTGAAGTCCCAATTTTTTTGGGAGGGGGGTGTTTAGTAGTATACCTGTCTCTTATACACATCTAGATGTGTATAAGAGACAGGTGTAGAGTGTTACGTAACGAAGTCTAGGCCTGGAGTAATTTAATCATGACTGATGGGCCTAGGCAGAATATGTTAGGCCTAACCATGCCCTAAATAAATATAAAGATTCATATTCTAAACTGTCTACATATTTTATTACTATACATGCATATAATATTTAATATTATTTATAGTATAGTAGTATAGTATAGTAGCAAATGGGTATGATGTTGCTACAGAAGGGCCTGGCTAGGCTCTTTCCATGATGTTGGTATGTTAATAAAATGTTTTTTTTTGTTTTTGTTTTTTTTTCAAAATTTTAGGCAGACCTAAAAATCAGGATCCACTGGAAGAGTACTTCAGTAAGCAACATGCATGCGGAGGAAGGAATGAAAACCCTATGGTGCAGCAGTTCCAGCAAAATGCTTTAACTATACAAGTCGCGGGTGCAAAAACTGTCACAGGGTCAATTGCCGGAAACAGCAGGAAGTCAAATTTCGAAGTTGATTGCTCTCCACTTCCAAAAAGAAAAAAAAATTGCTGTCTTTGTAGTATAATAAACATGTGATTTGTTGCCAGAAATCCATTTAAAGTCTTGACATTAAAGATGAAATGCATTTGTTAATAATTGATTGATAAGGTGCAAATAAACTTGTATATTATGTGCTATGTTGCCAGAAATCCAATCATTAAGTTTTGACATTAAAGATGAAATGCATTTGTTAATAATTCATTTATAAGGTGCAATAAAGTTCACCAAGTGCCATTGCATTACATTGTTTTATCATTATAAGAATACAGTAATTATTCAAATTTAAGGTGTGCAATTTTGAAATAAAGGTACAGTACTGATATATTTAATTTCTTTGCTGTGATATTTATTGCAACTTAACATAACAAAAGTAATACACAACTATTTCAAACATTTATACATTTACAGTATTTACATCTTTCACAACGGTGAACACGAATGAGGTACAACCTCAACTGTCTTGTTTTTTTATTACATAATACCATGGAGATACCCCCATGATAACCCTTTTTTCCAATAGATGCATCTCGTTTCTTCCTATCCATTATGTACACATCTACAAATGCTCTGCATCTTATGTCTATATAGCAAGCAATAACTTTACTAAACAAAGTTGAGACAATTGATTCATTGGCTGTCTCGCCGATCAGCCACTCCCACGCTAGTTTAATAGCTCGTGTGTTCAGCCTTTCACTTAGTTTTTGTTTTAAATTTACATTGCGAAGACTTTTGATTTGAGAAATTGCAAGAATTGGCTTTGCTTCCTCCTCGAGACGTCGAAAAAATATACCTTATTGTTCACCCTAAAAAGGCCCCAGACCTAAAAATATGTTCGATTTTTCATTGAGGTGAAAAACATGAAAGTTCCTGCATACATTGTCCAGGCCTTCAGATGTGGTCTTCTTTTTTTCAGCTTCGCTTGTAACTTCCCACAGGCTGGTCATCAATGTGCTGGCAGTAGCTTCAAATACTGATTTCGATGCCTGCAACTCCATCACTGCACTGTTTCTTTGCTTTGCCATATCTGGGTTCAGCTGCAGCATAGGGCTTTCAGTAACCTTTTTAAATGCCAACGCTAGTATCTCAGGTGCATCGGAAACAGCATTTTCCAAATAGTATTGGCTCTTCCATTTCGTTGGTTTATGCTCTGTTATAATAAAAGAAAAATCAAATGCATTAATACACTAAAAATTAAAATAAATATACTTTTTGGGAGATTTTTTATTATAAAAAAAAAACCCTTCCAAAAAGTATAACAAACATTAAAGTATAAAATAGTTTATATAAACTAATGAGAAGTAGGGTTCGCGCCGTAAGTAAAACCCGAAAAAAGGTATGAGGCTAGGCCTACTAGGCCAAGAAATTAATTTTCGAGCTTTTTGCTGGCGATCGCGGCCGAACTAGTTAATTAGTCTCGCACTGACATGAATAAATAAATGCGTAATATATAATTAGGACCTACACACTTACTTGTTTTAGATCCAGTGGATTTACTACCCGACTTTGTAGGTGTAGGTTCAGCAGTAGCACTGACGACAGGAGAGCAGTTTCCACACATCCAACCCGTTTTGCTTGTTGTAGACGGGCCTAGGCCTACGCATTCCGTGTGGAACCACCCGACTGAGCATTGTTTGCCATTATACAGGCAATCATTTCTTCTGTGGAAGGACAATTGCAAATACACAGACACACATCTCCTCCTCCCTCTGATTCTATTTCCTCAGCCATTATAAGATCTATTTCGTCAATTTCGGCTTCAAATTCTTCGAGAGTAAACGCCTCAATAGTAGTATACCGCGAATGAGAAATTACACAGTGTATATATATATCTAGCCAAATCTAGCGCGCTCGAGTACGACTAAGATTGACCCAAGCTAACTGTTACGTAATAAACTTTGACCTCGCAAGAAGTTTCAGGGCTAATTCTGTGTGCGATACCTAGTACAGTAGAAATAAGGTTTAACCCCCAAAAAATTGCAACAAAAGGTTTTTCAACGGATTTTGGTAGTATTGAGTGTGCTAAATAACATAAAAAAAGTATTATGAAATCCGACCACCGGAAAGTGGTTTTTTCCAAGATGGCCGCCAAAATGGCGGCCATACCATAAAAGAGCTACAAATTGTGATATAATCGCGATCTTTTTAAAACAATATCAAGTTTTTTGGGTCAGTAAATCATTTCAGACAATTTAGAATGTGATATAATCAATATAAATCAATTCAAGATGGCGTCCAAGATGGCCGCCATGTATAAACAGTCATAAATCAGTACTTACTTTAGCAATTTTAAGTGTCGTCATTTTTTGATCAAATCAAAGAAAGTTGTCATCTAAGATTCTATTGATTAACAGTTATACCAACAAGTAGACTGGAATTAAGGACCAGGTTTGCTATATTTAATGTATTTTGTAGTTTACGATAAATCAATAGTCATCTGTTTCCATTTCTCTATCTTCATCATCTATTACTTTCTCTACATTCTCACATCCCTCAAGTTGACAGGCCCCACAGGCTGATGTGCATGCCAACCCATAGCATCTGCAACTGCAACGTGGTGTTTTACATCCAGTAGTGCAATTGCAATGGATGATTTTTAAAAGTTGACAATGAAATTTACTGGCAGATGAAGTTGGAGGTATTTGCTGAGGCGTCACAATCGATACCCCCCAACAACTTTCTTGCTTACATCTGAAGCTATCAAGTGAATCAATGGATTCAGTCCCAAACAGGATAGCCATAGCCTTTCTTACAAATTCCACAATAACATCACTGTTCTGATTTGGCTGACTAAATGCTTCAGCACATAATCTAAGAATCTAATCCCCCTCCACCAATTTCTGGAAAGCTGCCTTCTTTACCGATGCCAAAAATGCAAGATGTTGAATCACAACCCGTAAAAGCATGTTGAATGGCAATGCAAGGCATACTTTATTTCCAAAGGCGGATTTTATGCGGGTTACATTTATTACCCTTACCCTAATATCCTTTGTCTTGTCCGACCTGAAGTAAACCTCTCGTTCGTCTGTATTGACATGATAGAGAAGAAGAACAAGTCTGTATCTTCTCCAATTAAAGTTACAGTATGATGATGGGAAATATCTACTGATGCTACACTATATTCACGTCAGCATGACGTCAGCTTGTATTACAGGACAATTTCTTTTCTGAAGTTCAGCAGAGAGCATAATTATTTATAAACTTCTGCTTGTTATCCTGATGATGACATAATTAATGTCGAAATATTGAATCGACACGATGGCGTGCGTTTTAATACTTGGAGCAGGGACGTATCCAGGGGGGAGCCGTGGGAGCCGCGGCTCCCCCCCTTTGTACACAGTGTTAAAATTTTAAAGCTTATTCTTGAGCCAATACAAATTCTTTCCTGGGATCACTCAAAATGAATACTTCTAAACATGTAAATATGCATCCGTACACGTTATACATAGCCCTAATAGAACACATAAGCCTAAGCGTGATTTAAAAAAATCTTAAATCCATAAATCTCAGGCCAGGTCTTTTAAGATAGAAATGCGATACTGTGGTTCAATTTCGTTTTTATACTTTTGCAAGTTTCTTTAAATGTTTGTTTAATAATACTACTACTAATAGTAGTAGTAATAATAATAACAATGATGATGATGACGAGAGAAATAATTTATATTAATATTAATAACAAAAGGGAAGAAAATTGTGCTAAATGCGAAAAAAAGTTGTGATTTTTGATCATAATATAGTATATATAGTTAAAGCTTAGTAAGCTATAATTAGGCCTAAGTTGTCCTGGATATTAAATAGATCCCTGATAAAAGATCATGAGAAATTTGTTGGCGTTTCATTTTGACTATAATGGTAATGTGATGATGATGAACTGTCTTTCCTCAAATTTTCTCACCTCAGCCCCAGCCATGGTAGGGCTGAGGTGGTTGTGAAATCACGTTTTTGAAGTAGCCCTATGTAAAGTACATACTCAAAGACAATGTTTTTAAGCTTTTTTTTTTTTTTTTTTTTTTT